TTTCCGTTTAATTTTAAACGAATTCAGTTTCCAGTGAGCCTATGTTTCGCCATGACAATTAATAAAGCTCAAGGTCAGACTCTAAAAGTTGTGGGTATAGATCTAAGTATCAGCTGTTTTTCGCACGGTCAATTGTATGTGGCTCTGTCCCGTGTTAGCAATCCCAGGAGCCTGTATGCTTTCACCCCCGATGGCCATACGTCTAATATTGTATATAGAGAAGCATTACAGTAAAGTAGGTTTTTTAGCTACCCAAAATGACTGTGATTATGATCCAAATCTAAAATAAAAATAAGTATATATTTAAAAAAAATTGCTGCTCATAGTCACTATTCTACGCGAACGAAGTCGCGGGCACAGCTAGTTAATAAATAAAACTTTATATTTCGACTATTCCAGGTGGGCGAGTTCACATCACTTCTATATCCACGTACTACCTGCAGAAGGCTATCGTCATAGCCATCAGGTATTCAGCAGTGAGGAAGCAGTTTGGCCCTGAGAATGCTCAGGAGGAGACGCCAGTCTTAGAATACCAGCAACAAGTAAGGATCACTACGTAGTATAAAACGAAGTCGTCTTTTCTGTTCGTCCTAGTGTGTGATATCTAATATCTTGAAATGTACACAACATTTTGATGCGGGATTTTAAAGGAAGGTTTATATGTATGCGTAATAAATGCATAATATAGTAGAGAAACAGTAATAACCCTGCGAAGCTATGAGAGGTCGCTAGTTACGTTTTTCATTTATTAATAAAAGTTGGTACTCATTTTCATATACAAAATATCTAAGTATACAATAAGTTAGTTAAGAACATATTCTCCCCCCCTCTTCCCCCTTTCTCTCTCTCTCTCTCTCCCCCCCCCCTCTCTCTCTCTCTCTCTATTTCACTCATTCAAGTGAAGATCTCTCTCTCTCTCTTACAAAAAAAAATTGTACAAAATGTAAATGATTTAATAAAATTTTCTAGCAAATCCGTCTCCTGCCGTACTTGGCAGCCACGTATGCTATGAAGATATTCTCCGTGTGGCTCAGTTGTCTGCACATCAACATGACCATCAACAGCTTTGTCGGTAAGTTAAGAGTTACCTACTATACATAACACCTATTTTTGCGATAGGATACACTTTTAGGTACTTGCACTCATAACAAGACTCTGTAATCAAGTGCAAATATCCCTTCTCTTGATAATAAGATAAGAGACAATTCCTCACGATGTTTTCTAATGTCGATAGTGTCTAAGTAATCTTAGAAATCCTTACTAATATTATAAATTGGAAAGTGAGTTTGTTTGTTTGTTCCGCTTTCACGCCGTGACTACTAAACCGACTGTTTTGAATTTTTGCAGACATAAAGTTAGAAGTCTGGATTAAATAATAGGGTACTTTTTATCCCGGAAAAATTTATATTCCCGAGGGAAAACAAAAGTATTGGTATAGATGGCGCTGTGTGTATTGGTATATGTAACATAAGCTACTTTTCATCCTTTTGTGACGCGAGCGAAGCCGCGGGTAAAAGCTAGTTTCATATAATTGTAACTTGGAATATGTCACATTGGTACTTGTCCGGTTTCAAACCCCCATGGATGAGAATATTGATGACTTTACATCCTGACAGAAACTTATTAATTATTATGATTTCAGCTTACTCACGTAACTGTTTGACGAATAACTCGACTAGGTTGAATATGAGCCTCTAGCATGGCTTGAAACCAGTCGATTTCCTCATCAAACAGTTACGTGAGTTAGGGCCCTCGCCCACGGCGACTTATTGTAGCGATGGCGTCGTGCGTGGTCTAAAAGCTCGACATCATTGCTACTAACGTGTATTACTGTTGTATGTACTGTGCGATCGTATCGATGCAGACGCGCGATAGCATCGCCACTGCATCGCTACAAAAAGTCGCCGTGGGCGAGGGCCCTAATCCGAAAATATAATAATTAATTTAGTATGTCTCACGAAACTTAAAATATATGCATAACATAACAGCAACACCCCTTTTTATCCCCGAAGGGGTAGGCAGAGGTGCACATTACGGCACTTAATGCCACTGTAAGTACAATATAACACCCACTTTTCACTATTTATGTTATTAGTCCCATGTAATAGGGGGTGAGGCTATTGCCGTATACCGGGCACATTTCCAGACTCCGTGCTACTACTGAGATTTTTAAAAACCCAGTAATACTTTGCCCGACCCGGGAATCGAACCCGAGATCCCTTAAACTATAAACTTATTAATTATTATTATTTTTCGGCTCGTGTGTCGAGTAGGTGAGGACCCGCAGGCGGCGGCCCGCGGTATAGAGTTGCACGCGCTGTCGTCGGCTGTGAAGCCATTGTTCGGCTGGACCTCGCGGGATGGCATACAGAACTGTAGGGAGGCCTGCGGGGGACATGGATACTTGAAAGGTAACATTTATAATCACATCAACAGACCGAGGGACTAAAAGTCTCCACTACATAAGAGGAGCTTGCTCCAAGCTCTTTTAATAATAATTTTGTTCATTATGTCCACCATATAACAGAAACTTAGAATTAGGTTTTATAATAGGCTTACATTAAATGTAATGTAAGCAATACAATCATATAATTTTTAAATTAAATATTTATATTACAACAACCCACACTATCTCTAGAAAAACCTATGGTATCTCTAATCTCTATGATAGGCAACGGTTTGAAAATCGTAGTATAAAAGGTTCCGGTTTATCGATGAACGCTGCTAGTCTTTGTCAATGGGGCTACCATGGGCAGCAGATGTAGCAAGATTTTTTTTGTCTAATCCATCCTACTGTCAAATACTGAACGTGTAATGATGTGACTAGCTAATTCCATACTAGACGAAAAACCAGAAGGCGCAATAGTGCCACCTTGTCAGGTAAAATAAAATAACTGCATTGTATAGTACATATCTTACATCGGAATACGGAGAGGTTAATCAAATTTAAGTCACGCTTAATTATAATTCTGTTTCTACAAATTCTTTGTAAAATGATATTTAAGTACAACTTAAAATTAGGTACTTGCCAACTAGTCAAATTCAATACTTTTTTCGAACTGTCAAAAGCGACAAGTGTCTATGAATTTTGTACGACATTGTGTTTTGTGACGTCACGTTTTTTTACGTCAAACAGCATACCTACTTATTAAAAATTTTTTTAATAATACTAAAATTAAGTTGTTTATAAAAACAATTAATGAAAGTGTGATTATTTTTAAATATTTTATTGTATAGAACAGTCGAATTAATTTGATTTTTTGATTAAGGAAAGTACTCAATTGAAAAGCTTTTCAGTATTGTGGCGTTAGTCGACTTACGTCACTAGCAGTATTTAACTCTGACGTCACCACACGGCATACAATCATACAAAGTATCCCAACAATGAATAGGTACCTAATAAGGAGTTTGTATCAGCTTTATATCTTGCCCAAAGTCTTTGTATATCTTGCGAAAAGTGAATTAATCGTTTGTCCAGTCTTGAATACTTTTCTTGGTCGTTATACACATTGAAACGAGCTAATATTGGTTTATTTCTTACTTTCAAATAGAATTGAGGGTTTATGATTTTCGCCATTGTCAAGTAGGGAACAGATTCCATTGAAGTATTTCTATAACAGCGGCAGCTATCGGCGACCTGCGCAATGACAACGACGCCAACTGCACGTACGAGGGGGAGAACAGCCTCCTGCTGCAGCAGGCCAGCAACTGGCTGCTCAACGTCTGGGGGAGGAGGGGGGGACTCACGCCCGAAGACTCTCCTCTCGGCTCACTCCACTTCCTACAAAACGTGGACCAGCTACTCCAGGAAAAATGCCCCTGGAAGACTGTCCAGGAGTTTATGGAGCCAGCTAGTAAGTCACATTATATTTTTTAAACGAGCAAATGGATCACTTTGTTATAAGCAATCGGCATTGTTAATAGACCAATGATGATGAATCTTTTTTAAACGAGCACCTAGCTTTACTGATAAACAGACTGACAGACTATTAAAATTTTACATTTCAACACTTATTTAAGAATTAATTTAAATACATACAAATAATAAACAAAAATATTTAAATAATACTGTTTCGTCGTGTGAGTGAGGTTACCGGAGGCCCAATTGACCCTCCCCAATCCCTGAATCCCCAACGATCCTCAAACTCCTAATCCCCAAAAAGCCGGTAACGCACTTGTAACGCCTCTGGTGTTCCAGGTGTCCATGGACGACGCCGATTGCTTACCATCAGGTGATCCGTTTGCTCGTTTACCGACTTATGCCATAAAAAAACGTAACTTTTTTTACTTATCACGACAGCTAAAAAAAATAGAATTTTTTTTGAGCGCGCGAAACCGCGCGAGAGTTATAAATATAGCTAAATGATTATTTTATTTCTCTTCCAGATTTGATCCACGCATACAAATGGCTGACGGCGTTCACGCTGAAGATGACGGCGGAGAAGGTGGCGCTACTGAAGGGCCAGGGCAAAGACAACTTCTCAGCCAAGAATGAATCGCAGTCCTACAATGCGGTCACTCTGTCTGTTGTCTACGGAGAGGTATATTTTTTTGAATTAGACAAACGTCTCATTCCAGGATTCTCTCCTGTGTCGTGAGAAGTGAAACATATAAATTCACACATCACCTTCAAACTTAGAATAATAATTTGTGGATCTCACAGAGTTGGTCCGTGTGGGTATTGAACCTGCGGCACATTGCATATCAGCCAGCTACACAGGTTATAGCCAACTATGTAGTCAATGTACATATATATAGTATGTACTTACATACTTTTAAATTACTTAGGTACTCTCCAACTAGTCAAATTCAATACTTTTTTCGAACTGTCAAAAACGACAGTTGTCTATGAATTTTGTATGAGATTGTGAGTTGTGACGTCACGTTTTTTAAGTCAAATGGCATACTTGTTTTTTAATTTGGTGCAAAAAAACTAAAATTATGTTGGTTATAAAATCAGTTAAACAAAGTGTGATGATTTTTTAATATTTCATTGTATTGAACAGTCGATATATTTATTTTTGATTAAGGAAAGCATCCAATTGGAACATCAACCTTATATACAAACGTAACTCAAAATTGTCTCTATCGATACATACTTCTTTAAATAGATGGTTATTATTATTATTATATATGTTAAACATGGTACTTCCACGCGGTTTCACCCACTCTGCTCGGCTCTTATTAGTCGTAGCGTAACGTATTATTAGCCTATGACCTTCCTCAATAAATGGAGTATTCAACACAATAAGAATTTATTAAACCGGACCAGTAATGCTGGAGGTTAGCGTGTTCAAAGAAACAAGCAAAATCTTCAGCTTTGGATAATAGTAATAAGTATAAGATAATATTTTATTTGCAGAACTACGTACTGAACAACTTCTATAAAGCTGCGCAGGAGTTTGAGGACGCTCAGTGTCGCGCTGTGCTACTGAAACTAGTCGCTTTGTATGGAGCCTTCCTCTTGGAGAAACACTTGGCGACGCTCTACATTGTAAGTCTAATCTATCTACAACATGTAGCCATAGACACATCAAATTATTTTTATTTCATTTCATCTAATTCTAAGACAAAACAATTCATTAAAAGAAATGTTAAAAATGTATGTGATATTTTAGCTTTATTAGGAATTATGATCAATTCTTGCGACTGTGGTGACGTTCTATCGAGCCCTGTAACATAACATAACATCACGCCACGCCTTTTGTTACGGAAGGGGTAGGCAGAGCTGCACATTACTACATGCGACTGTACAATGTAACATTCACTTATCATTTTTTTATGTTATGAGTCCCATGTAAATTCCAGACTCAGTGCGGAAACTGAGGAATTTTTGTAAAAACCCAGTAATACTTTTACCAACCTGCGAATCGAACGCGAGACCCTTTGGCCGGCAGTCACAGTTGCGACGAGGCAGTCAAAAGCTATTTTATTAATTTCGGTCATTGGTCAGTGCTATTTTAGTATTCATGATAAGTAATATTGGATTATAGAAATTAGATGTACCAATTTACTATACAATATTAAAGCTACTTTCGCCTGTGATACAGGGCTTTCCTAGTACAGGCATCTAACTGTATAAGGCCTACATCGCTTATAAGATAATATTTTATATTTTGCTCATTTTATCATCAATAAAGATTCATCATCATCATCATCATCAACAGCCTATAAATGCCCACTGCTGAGCAAAGTCTCTTCTCACACGGAGAAAGTTTGAGCAGTAATCACCACGCTTGCTCAATGCGGGTTGGCGATTTCAAACTTATAATTAGAAATTATAAGCCCAGGTTTCCTCACGATGTTTTCCTTCACCGTTGGTCAGTGGTGTCTAAATAATCTTAGAAAGTACATATAACTCGGAAAAAGTCACATTGGTACTTGCCGCTGCTAGGTTTCGAACTGCACCCTCGTGCATGAGAAGTAGGCATCTTCAACCTCCGGGCCACCACGACACTACAACAATAAAGATTATTTGTTATTATTTATTTTGTATACTTGCAGGGCGGTTACCTGTGTGGAGAGCAAGGCTTGTGTCTCCGCGACGGGATCCTCCAGTTGTGTGGCGCGCTGAGTCCCGAGGCCATCGCGCTCGTCGACTCCCTGGCGCCGCCAGACTTCTGCATCAAGTCCATACTAGGCATGTCCGATGGAGAAGTAAGTTGTTTTTGCAGTTTTAATGACATAAGCTAACGAGCAGATGGATCACCTGATGGTAAGCAATCAGGACCGCCCATGGATACTGACAACGGTAGAGGAATTCCACGCATGTTCCTGGCCTTTTGGGGGGTTAGGGACGGTTAATGAAGATTGGGCCTCGCGTAACCTCACTCTCTCACGGAGCCGCGGAGGACTTAACGGGTTGCCGGGGCTCCGGCTTGAAGGGCAGGACTAGGAACGGGGTGGGTTTTAGTCAGTAAAAGTCCGACGCTCCCTCTCGCCTCACCGAGGCGGAAGAAGTCATTAAATGATTTCCCCCCCTAAAAAACCTCAATCTCTCGCGGTGAATAAAAAGGTGTCGGTTTTTCCACGCCGGTTCTGTGAGGCCGTGGTATCACTTCGGTCGAGCCGGCCCATTCACGGGCGAGGATATTTTAAGACTCGGGTTCAATACCTAGGTCGGATTAAAATTATTAGTCCTACATCATAATTGTACTACATCACAATATTTACTTAAAAAGAGCAACCACGTTTGGTGAATGTCTAAATATGTTTACATGACATGTGTTCGTACATTCCAGGCGTACAAACACCTCCAGTCCAGTGTGATGACGTACCCGGGGTCAATGACCCGGCCCGAGTGGTGGCGCGACGTCGTGTACTGGCAGTCCTACGCACCCTCCAAGCTGTAGTCTACCATATACACTACGCAATAAATACAAGAATCAACTGTGCATAATCAATTCAGTCACAATTTTTTTATAATTATGTTTTTGGTGTAAGTTATATAATAATGTAAAATCATAATTTTGAAGAAAAAACATTTTTGATGTTAAACCTTTATGATCATAATAATATGATGTTCAGAATAATTTGTCAAAGAAAACTTGGTTTACAGCAGTTTTAATAAGGCTGATTTTTCGACCAGTGCCTTTAGCCAAACGCCACTTTAGCGCTTGTCTACAGTGAGAGTAGAAATGAATCATACGTCAATTCCATAATAATATAATTTGGTTTTCTATTCTACATGTAGACAAGCTCTGAATGGCATTTGGCTACCGCTGCTGTTGAGAAATGTTCTAACAAACGACGCAAAGGGGGCGTTATTTAAAAAAAGAATTTGTCTAAGGATTGTTGAAGGAAGACTACTTTATATGTAAGTCATCAAATTCTACAAATGCTTTTGAAAATGTGATATATGATATGTTGCTGTACCACGGTATACAATATCGAAATAGCATTCTTTTGATTGCCTCGTCGGCCGAGTGGTCGCAAGTGCGACTGCTGGGCAAGGGGTCTCGAGTTCGAATCCCGGGACGGGCAAAGTATTACTGGGTTTTAAAAAAAATCTCAGTGATAGCACGGGGTCTGGAATTGTGCCCGGTGTATGACAATAGGCTCACCCCCTATTACATGGGTCTCATAACATAAGTAATGCACCTCTGCCTACCCCTTTGGGGATAAAACGTGTGATGTTATGTTATTCTTTTGATGTGTTTGTTTTTTTTGGTTTCCAACCGACGCGTTATGTACAGTCTGATTGAGGAACTGTGATCCCTAAAACAACGCCTATTTTTTACCTGACAAACGCTCATCATGTTCAACGAAAGTATCCAATATTCAACTATAAATCAATGCAAGAAAGTTCAATTTTATGTGTGCACAATAGTACCATAATGACGTTAATTCGTTCCACAAGTCAATTACTATTGAATTTTAAAACTACGCAGCAATTGAAAGTAATTTAGTTTGTAAGTTGTCTTGAACAATTCTATTGTCATAATAAATGCGCATAATGAATATGAATAATAATATATTTTTTAATATTTTTACACTTTAGTTAATAAGATAGAACTTTATATTATTGTTAAATGGTGGAGATATATTTTTATACAGGGATTTTTAAATAAATATATATTTGAAAATAAAATATGTTTTATTTAAGTGCGTTATATATTTTGAATTTAAAGTTTTAAACATTCAAAAAAAAAAACTATGCCCCACACTATGAGTGTCTCCTGTGTAGTGGGTGCGTTTACAAACATACAAATTCACATACACATGACACCTGGACCCGAAACAACAATTGGTAGATCGCACAAAATGTTGTTCCGTGCGGGAATCGAACCCGCGGCACGCTGCTTGGCAGCCGGTTGCCCAGCCACCGCACCAACCGAGTAGTCAAAGTGCAGCATTATAGTAGGCAGTTATGTATTAATTAACAATCAAACAACGTGAACGCGGGCGAACCTAGTTTCATATACCCCACTAAGTAGACCCTAAGTATAGTTTAAATGAAATAAACAAGATTACACTGCACGAAATGAAATTCTCTTTAAATGTACCTAAAGGTCAGTCGGTTCAAGAAGCTAGACAAGTTGGGTAGGTAAATTGAATTTGTAATGAGGAAACAAAATAGGGTTCTTTGATTACGTTTTAAATATATAATCAGCATGTCAATCACTCTGTCTATCTGTAAGCCAATGAAATGTTCCATTTTCCCGGTTAATCTTACCATTCTTTACTTGTTATTCAAGCTCGATGTGTGTCTTTAAGGTTTTAAATCATGTTACGAATACTAATTCTTTTTGTTATAACGTCCACGTAAGTAATAATTAATTTAAAAACTGAAAAACAACCATAATAAACTCAACTTAAAACTATGAATAACCAAATAAGTTCGGTTTCGAAGCACTAATATTATAAATCGGAAAGTGAGTTTGTTTGTTTGTTCCGCTTTCACGCCATAACTACTAAACCGATCGCTTTGAATTTTTGCAGACGTAAAGTTACAAGTCTGGATTAAATAATAGGGTACTTTTTATCCCCGAAAAAATTGATATTCTCGAGGGAAAACGAAATTATTGGTATAGATGGCGCTGTGTGTATTGGTATATATATGTCACATAGGCTACTTTTTATCCTTTTGTGACGCGAGCGAAGCCGCGGGTAAAAGCTAGTAGAAAATAATTTAATTAAACTGTCAAACACCAAGCGGTCACCGGTGACCGCAACCTATTGTTCTATAATTGTGTCTACAAAACCGGTACTCGATGAGTTAAAATAATGTTAACTGTTGGGACCCACGACTCAAATAGATATTCCCGTCTTTGACTAGTAAAATGGGAGCCCACTATTAAAGTTGTTTAATTAGACAAAAATAAAACAATCAGCCGAACATACATCCTTTTTAAGTCGGTAATAAATTACTTTCTTTGCTACTGAAACGAACTTTTATAATTTATTTTAAACTCTTTTAAAGAACTTCAATGTGACAATGAATTATTTTTACTTTAGGTATTATCACTTTGGGGTTAGTAAAGGAATTTAAAATTATCAAAGCAATAAGTAAACATCCGTTTCGTGTATGTTTTTCAATTATAGACATGATATAGGTACAACCACAGAAATAATATATCTGTGGGTACAACCATTTCGAAATTCTCTCGATGAGTTCTTTAATTTGATACCCATACTGGCATACTTACTACAGTATTTGAAAATATTAAATTTCTTATTTTTTTACTGAACCGATTTTGATGCGGTTTTCAGAAAAGTGTTTGTTAAACTTAGGAGAAGGTTTTAATAGATATGTTTAAAAAAACCGACTTCAAAAAACGAAGGGGGTTAAAGTACGGCTTTTTTTAAACGTTGTTTATATAGTTTTAAGTACCTAATTATTTCATTGTCCAATTATATCTGAGAACGGGTTACCAAGACTATCTTACGACTGTCATAAATAAGTCCTATTTGGTTAGGTGATTTAGAAGAAACAAGATAATCTTTATATATAAAAATAAATTTCCGTTTCTTAGTCTCAGTAAAACTCGAGAATGGCTGAACAGTTAAGCGGCAGTTAGAAGCGGCTAATTTTGATCTTGAAATGTATGTAGAAAGTGTAAAAGGTAAAAAAAGATTTTGGCGTTACGTTCCCGGGTCAACTAGTAATTAGAATATTAATACACTCATACATACATACAAGATACGTGCGAAAAACAATAAGTACCCTTCCTACAGTCAAGTAAAACTGCTTATTGTTATTTAGGTATAATTCCAGATTACAAGTCGAATCGTTTCCCATTTTAAAAGACTTGCATGAGCGAAAAGACCTAGAATTTGTCCTAATAGACCTCCTGAATGTTCTGACGAGGGACTATGAGGTGACCTGCATCGCTATTATTTGTGATGAAGTCTATCTGAACGTGTTCGGTGGGCCATTGTTTAAAAGGACTGCGTCTGTACCTTACGTCATGGTAAGTATAAGTAGTTATTAGCCCCAAAATGAATCTAGATACCTTTGTGTTAAAGTCACAGGACTTTCTATTTATAAACCGATTTTTTTTCTAAAGAACCTACGCCGTACGTAGTGTAGTATATGTTAGTGTGTTTTAAACAATTGCACTTCATTTCCGCTTGAGTACGGTCATCATCAAAAGTTTGATGTTTTGATGAACACACTAAAACTAGTAGAGCTTTTCTCAGTACCTATAGTGACGTGAGTAACCCGCGATTTTTAGTTAATTGATGAACACATTTAGATTTTCAAGTACAGCGTATTAACGCTGTACAAGTGATTTTGGGTAATCCTAAATCATTCAACAAGATAAGCGGTAGAAATAAATAAATCAATCTTGTGTTGCATATAAGATGCTCGTCATGTTCGCCGATTTAGGTTTTGAAAATCTAAATGTGTTCATCGACTTTTGATTCTGACCGTACCTACTTCTCAACATTTTGCTTTCAGACTGTTGTAGAGGATTACGAGGATTTGTTATCTCCAAACTTCGTTACATTAGAATCATTGAGAGCTGCTAGAAAAGAAGGGTGCAACGTATATGTCATACTACTTGCTAATGGCCTGCAAGCTTCACGTTTGTTGCGGTTCGGAGACAGGTGAGGAGCGATGTAATCCAGGAACTATTTACCTACTTCGTTATAAACTAAAATAACCAATATAACTGCCTTGTTGGCCGAGTGGTCGCAATTGCGACTGCCGGGTAAGGGGTCTCGGGTTCGATTCCCGGGTCGGGCAAAGTATTACTGGGATTTTAAAAAAATCTCAGTAGTAGCACGGAGTCTGTAACTGTGCCCGGTATATGGCAATAGGATCACCCCCTATTACATGAGACTCATAACATAAATAGTGAAAAGTGGGTGTTACTGTACAGTGGTATAATGTGCACCTCTGCCTACCCCTTCGAAGATAAAAGGCGTGATGTTATGTTATGTAACCAATATAATTTTGCATGTGACAGACATATGTATACCTACTTAACTGTAACTTTATTCATATCAATTTTTGCAGGTATCGCATTCTCGACACTAGAGCTAAATACATCATGTTACACGACTTTCGACTATTTCGCAGCGAGCTTCACTACATATGGCGTAGAATAGTCAACATTATATTCGTAAAATACCACAAAAAGATTTTGGGTGTGTCTAAAAGTCGGCCTTGGTTCGAGCTCTCTACAGTGCCATTTCCAAATCCGATAAAAGGAGTTTTTGTTCCAAGACGAGTGGATATTTGGAAAAACGAGAACTTTTACTACAAGAGGCCTCTGTTTGCAGACAAAACTAGCAACTTGAATGGTGAAGTGTTGAACGTTGTTTATTTGGACCACGTACCTTCTGTTGTGGTTGTTAAAAACAATGGAAGTAATAAAATAGGCGGTGTCGAAGTTGAGGTGAGGTTGAGGTATTTAATGTCTTTTTATGCACCCCTATAGATAATACTAGAGTACTTAGGTACATAATTGTTTCTTCTGAAGATTGTTTAACATTAGGTAGGTACCTACTGTAGCAGCTGTAGGTAGCACCTGTTGTGTGGCCCTGTACTGACTCCTGAGTACAAATACTTATTAATTGTGCATAGTTACATTTAGTAGTAGGAACAGTTTTCTTTGATTTGTACAATGATACCTGCTACTACAACACGCTAAGTTATTTACCTACATTTCAGATCTTACATACATTAGCCGAAAAAATGAACTTCAAACCAAAACCATACCAGGCTATAAACGCTGAACTGCACAAATGGGGCCAGAAACAGCCTAATGGCTCTTTTTCTGGACTTCTGGGCGAGATGGTTAATGGAAGAGCAGATGTTGCGTTAGGGAACCTGCAGTATACGCCTTATCACCTGGAGCTCACAGATTTGAGTATACCTTACACGTCACAATGTTGGACATTTCTAACACCAGAAGCTTTAACTGACAATTCTTGGAAGACATTAATTCTACCGTTCAAGTAAGAGCATTCAAATGTAATTACCTACAAGGTTGTAAGCGATTAAACTTAGTTATCCGAGCCCTGGAGTCCTGTCTGTAACACACACTTCATTCTAGTGGTAACGCTTAAACAGCAAATTTCGAATTTAAAAAGTCAGCTGCACAATATTGGTATTACGTACTTGTTGTACTTACCTATGGCTTGTGGACGCATGGCTACACTACACATCGAGCTACCTAAAATATACCTAAAACCAGTTTACCGTAGTCTCGCTTTTTATATAATCTTTCGCACATTCGACAGTTATTTTATTTTGTATTTGTAAAATTATGTATCTTTCTCGTTGTGTAGCCGTGTGTCCGCGATGCAAGTAGATATTCCTGGTGGGTACACAAAATGTAGGTAGTTCTGGGTCTGGATGTGATGTGTAGCTGGGTACCTATGTATACGAGTAGTCCTCAAGCGAATGTCTCCCCACATACCTATGTGGTAGCTACCCATCAACCCTAAGAAGTATTTTACATTGACCAAATGCCCTCTACGTCGCCTAACGTTACGTAAGTACCTAATTAGGTACCTACATAACTACCTACATTTTAATTGATTACTTTCAGATTGTATATGTGGATAGCAGTTCTCCTAGTGTTATTAATAACTGGAACTATTTTCTACGGTTTAGCAAAAAACCACATGAATCTGCAAGAATACAAAAAACTACGTCCAATACAAACTAAGGATGACGAAGGCATTGGTACGTAGGTTCTTCTCTTCAAGTTTAAATACTTACCTATAAAGATACGGTCAGCATCATAAGGTGAACATATTTACACCGTAGGTACCTATTATACTTAAATCGGCGAACAAAAGATTATGACGAGCACTTTAAATGCAACACACAATAATTATTTATGTCTGGCTCTCGTGTTGACTGATACGCTGTACAAGTAATTTTGAAAATCGAAAATGTGTTTATCAACTAGGTATGGATGCTGACCGTAATTAAGGGTATACAGTCAGCTAAGTGATTTGGTAGATTTACCTATACAGGTGTAGGTAAGAAAATAATGATTGATTTAATACAGAGATCCACCGGTTGGCTACTGAACTGATTTATAAAGTACAAGAGATAGATACCTATGGCATATTACCTAATAAGCATACAGTTTAGTAAAATAATAATAACCTATTATCTCTGTACTAATTCAATCTTTAATTTCTTACCAGCATACCAGATGTCTTTAGCACGGTAATAATATCACAAGTATTACCGTGACTTTGCTGACTGACTGTACCCGAAAAAACATCACAAGACCATGCTAAATAAAGACGTACATATTTGCAGATGCAAAGCCGGGACTTTATCTGTTTGGAGAAATAATAAACAGCATCCTGTACACTTATGGAATGCTGCTTGTCGTATCTTTGCCAAGGCTACCAACGGGATGGTCAATAAGGCTCTTAACAGGCTGGTACTGGCTCTACTGCATACTACTGGTGGTTTCCTACAGAGCCAGTATGACTGCTATACTCGCCAACCCCGCGCCCAGAGTTACCATCGACACACTCCGAGAGCTCGTCGATAGTAAAGTCACTTGTGGCGGCTGGGGCACGCAATCCAAAAAGTTCTTTCAAGAATCTCTTGACGAAAACACTCAGAAAATCGGAGACAAATTTGAAACTATAGACGATCCTATGAAGGCTGCTAATAAAGTGGCACAAGGAGTGTACGCATATTACGCAAATTCTGATTTTCTTAAGTACATAAGTGTTACTAGGAAAAATAGTTTGAAAGATTCAAAGGGGAACTCGACAAATACAACAGACTTCGCACCTAAAATAGATAGCCAACGAAACCTGCACATAATGTCAGACTGTGTAGTTAACATACCAATATCTATTGGTTTTCACAAAAACTCACCCCTGAAGCCACTGGCAGATGTTTACATGTGGAGGGTAGTGGAAGTCGGACTTGTTGAGAAATGGCTCAATGATGTAATGCACCCTATACACTCACTAGAAACAAATGAAGATGAGCTGAAAGCCCTAATGAATCTTAAAAAGTTATATGGTGCCTTCATTGCATTGGCCATCGGATACACTCTCAGTGCCCTTTGCCTGGCTGGGGAATTAACTCATTGGCACTTCATTGTAAAAAGAGATCCAAGTTTTGATAAGTATGCTCTTCACTTGTACTACAGAAACAAAAACAAAAAGGACTATTAAGTTTTAATATATTTATTCAAGTTATTTACATTTACCAACATGATTGTTTCTTTATGCAATAAATACCTATATTGTTCAGTCATGCTAAAGTCGCATTTGTAATAAAATTGTTGTTTCTTGTAATTGGTTATTAATTAATGAACTAAAAATTGATGTATAATTTAAAATCATCATGTTCAACTGTCATCTAACACATTTAAATATTATGCTAAAATTAATGTTGAAAATTATCTAAATAGTGCATACATTATTTTTGAATTAATTATAATTATAAGATCTATGAAACTAAGTATAAGAAAATTATAGTTGTTTTTGTTCGGGGTTGAAGGCAGGTGGTTGTGCTCCTTCTGGAGCATTTTCTGTGATCCATGGATGCTGTAATACATTGATCAATGGCAGTCTTTGTTCTGGATTGATAACTAATAATTTACCCATTAAGTCTTTTGCTTTCTCTGATATAAAGTCTGGATACTTGATAATGACATAACGTATCTTCCTGTATGTTTGATGAGAGTCTTTAGCATCAAAGGGAGGTAAACCAACAAGTAATTCATAGCAGAGCACTCCTAGGCTCCATATGTCCACAGCATAGTTGTGAGGCTTGCCCTCAATCATTTCTGGTGACAAGTAGTCTAATGTACCACACAGAGTCATTCGCCTTGATGATGGTGAATGTACTGACCAACCAAAGTCGGCTATCTTCAACTCCCAGTTGTGACCAATAAGTAAGTTTTCCGGTTTAATGTCTCGATGTATGACTTTCTTAGCATGGCAATATACAAGTGCTTTAGTCAAGTCCCTGATGTAAATTGCTACAGTTTTTTCATCAAAGCGTTCGCGCTCTTTCAGCAATTTGTACATGGAACCATGTTTAGCGTATTCCAAAATTAAATAAATACGTTTTTCGTCGTGAAAATATCCATACATACGCAATATATTAGGGTGACGGAGTCTGCATTGTATTTCAACTTCTCGCCGCACTTGATGTTCGATTTCAGAGTCTAATATTTGGCTCTTGAATAGTACTTTAAGAGCAACGACGTAGTGAGACTCTTTTTCACGTGCTAAATAGACGTTGCCAAACTTTCCTTTACCTAAAGGGCGACCCAAATCAAAATCCGAGAGAGACCATGATTTCTTCTTGTCGTCATTTTTAGCTGGGCCAGCACCTTGACTACCGAGCTCCTTGTTTTCGTTTACTTTACCGAGAGGTCGGCCAACGGGGACAGCTGGCACTTTGAAACTGTCCATTGGTATTTTTGGAGCATTTATATTACAACCACAACCAGACCGTCCAGCAGTTGGTGGACGGTTTTCTTTACAGCTACACTTATTTATATTCATTATCACAAACCACACTTTCCCAGATCAGTTTTATTTTGGAGTTCAAACTTTTAACGTAACGTATATTTCAATCATTTACAAAGTACAAACTGACAGTTAAGTTAGTAGTGATGTTACGACACGAGTTACAACTTTTCGTTTCGACGATGTTACGACAAACCGATTAATATCTCGATTCACGACTTATATTAATAAGCTCACCGACTTTCACTGGTTTTATATGAATCTGTCAGTAACGACGAACGGTTTTCGGTTTAATGTGTTTTAGTGTGGTGTAGTTTGGTTGAACCGTGAATTTAGATAAATGTTGATAATACACTACTTATGTATTTTAAAGTAAGTAAGAAATAATTACCGACACTGTATTTAGACTCGGGCCATAGCTACTATATACGTCATTACGATTTAAACCCGGTTTTCATAGATTTTTATAATCTATCCATCTGTTTAATCACGACTACGAACATTTGAAGAACTACCAACATTAAAACTTTGACGATACCCTATAAAAGTCATCAACTGTGATTGAGTTTGTTATGCGAAGCGTTTTTTGTTATAAAGGTACTAGATTGGGATTCGAGTAAATAAAACTGAGAAAAAGTTTATTAAACATGCAAAAGAGCAATTCGTAGTTGAACTCTACTGATTGTATCTCGAGTAGGTATTAAGTGATTTTCATTTTCAATACATTATTATCAAATTAAAATTATGTTTTTGTTCGAACACTGGCTATGATTGATTGACTGGATACGATTCCCATTCCGATTCCTAATTCTGGAAAATAAAATATAAATAATAATACGAATTATTGTTTATATTTTATCTTCCAGAATTGAAAAAACTTACAAAATAAACAAAACACACATATAAACATACGATTATTACACATAAAATAAACGATTTCATGTCTAAAATATGGATTGTTTATATTGCACATTTATTTATATTACACATTTATTGAACCAAATAGTATTCGTAAGTACTAAGTAAGTACCAACCAAATACTATTTGGTTACGTTACATTACACTAGTCAAATACTTGGTATTTACGCCGTAGGGATTGCTATATGAACGACCTGTGGCACCCTCATTGATTTTCATTATTGAATAGTCAAACTGTACGGTTTGATTTGAAGTAGGTTTGCATGAATCTTCGAATCCGATTTAAGTCGATTTAAAATAATTTCAGCTCGTAACATCTCTATTATTATCGAGTGCTTTTTTTCTTCTTTGGCAATAGAGTTCCTTGTCTATGCTTAAATATCATCTTCTTGTTTGACTTGACATTGACGTTATGCCAATATTGTCAAAATCCAAAATCCAAATCTGCTTTGCTGTCAATTGTCGAAGTGTCAATATATTGCTGTCTGCCTGCCTGCTGTTTTGCCTCTTAATTTTTTTGTGGTCGTGAAATCTTACAAAATGCATGTGTAAAGTAAAATCTCAAATCTATAATTTTAAAGGATCTTGACAGCAAAATATATCAATTGCATTCTATTAATAGAAAGCTTAAAACGCTTTTACTATAAATTTTGATTTCGAGTTTATTAAAAGATCCACATCAGCTGTACATAAATAGTAGTTTGCAGATTTAAGAAGCTTGATGTATTTTTAAAGAACATTCTACTATCAACAGGTAATATTTTTAGGTATAACAGAACAATAATGTCAAAAATCGATTTGAGGTTATGTTTTTAATAGAAAAATTTTACTAAACAAATAAATGATATAATTAAATAGTCACCTTATCACCTTGCTTTAAAACCTGGGTATCTTCATAGTGTATCGAATCAGCAATACGAGGTTCATGAAAACAAGGTCACATAAGTTTTGCTGTAGAGGCAGGTGACACTGTTTGTAGTCACTAGGAGAGATTACTGGGATGACCATGTAGTTAGGATAACTGACATAAGTTTGATTAGGCGAAATGTTACTATTCTAGGCATCAACATTACAAACCATGTCTGATGACGCAGAGCAGCAGACTGAAGAAATTGAAGTGTTGAAATCAATATACGAAGGAGATGAAAACTTCAAACAAGTTGACGCCACAACTTATCAATATAAGGTTAGTTCTTCACTTCAATTGGTATAATATTGTAATTTGCACTTTAGCTAAAAAGAAAATCAGCAATTTGTTTCCAGTTTATACTTATTAGAAAGACACATTAAAGAACGAAAGAAAAATCTTTATTTCACATGCTAAAAATAAGTGACATGTACAGATTATTAATACGTATTCATGTCCCAAGTCTGCAGTGAAATGGTACCACTTCAGCAAGTGCAAGACCAAACCTTGCACTGATATTCTACTGGCCCTTTAAGTGATTCGTGGACAAACAAGCCACCAATGGAGCATCATTTAATAATTTAAATTAATCAATAAAACAAACATTATAATAAGTATAACATAAAAGCAAAGGACAACCGTAGTTCATCATTATTAACATCTATTTACTAGACTATGAACTAAGTGGCTCAATTGTGCAGCTAATGCTAATAAAATATTACAATTTAACTAGACATGTACTACATACATCATCACACAGTTGTATTAATATAATTAAAGTTAAAATATATGGCTTACTAAGTAATTGAGAAGGACTGTACTAGTCTTGAGTAACACAGGGATTCTTCACTGTCCACTTTCTGGACTTCACATGAGATTGCCATGCTCTGATATGAATGAGCCGATTCAACCAGAGAATGATACTACAGCTTCATAAAAAATGGGAAATTAACAATATGTGCAATGTGTTTCTGTAAGTGAGGTTATGGTAGGCTGTTCATTTTCATTTTTTGAAAAACCCACACTGGGATTTTCTTGTGTGTTGTGGGTTTGTTTAGAAAAATATAAGTTCACATACACATGACACCTGGGGGCTTACTCTTGAATCCAATTCCGATCGATCCACATTGGTATTGTGAAACTTCGTACTACTCTAGGTCTGGACCTAGAGTAACAATTTGTGGATCACTCAAAGCTTGCTCTGTGCGGTAATCGAACCCGCGACTCGTTACGTGACAGCCAGTTGCCCAGCCACCGCGCCAACCGTGCAGCCTTATCCTCGCTCAACCCAACTCCAAATTCCTAAAAAGATGATCTGGTGTCCATGGGCGGCACTAATTGTTCATCATCAATTAATGATCCATATCGTTAAAAGAAACTTTGACAGTCTTTCTCATTTATCCATTACTTCATGTTAGTAAGCCGTATGCTGCAATTAGATAATACTAACTATCACTATTTATAATATATGTGTCTCATGCTAGGTTATTACACAGAAATAGCTTTATTTACATTATTCATTTTATGGTTTCAGTATATTGAAGGTGAGAAGTCATTTCTTTTGGAAATAAAATGGGGCCCAACGTACCCAACTGATAAACCGAGCTTTAATTTGGATATATTCTATAATCAATGTTTGTAAGTATATTCATAACATTACACTCTAGTGCCCTTATTTGGATGTTCCAATATATATATTCCTATGGGAAAGGAGCAAGAAACTCCATGGTTGCTCTGTTGCAATCAGTTTGACAGTACAATTCTTGGTTACATTGTTAAGTTGGTACATTCATGTGGGAATATGTAACCAAAAGACTCAATTATATTCAGTCAAAAAATATAATCTCAATCACTTGATATATGATACCGAAAATTCCCAAAATTCGTCCATACAAAAGTAGTCTCTAAACATCGGAAATAAGGTCTGTAATGGAGTAAGTGGAGAGCAGTCTCCGGTGACAGCTTGGGGATTGGTTAGTAAGGACAATAAAATTAATATAGGTAGTGCATCGTAGATAAGGCGGACGAAATTTCGGACTGCGACGCCTTTGCGGTACCCACCTTTCAAATGAAATTAAAAATGAGTAACTTTTTACCATATCCAAAAATATTACCTTGTAACAGTTGCCTTGTAATTGAAGGTTTATTCCTTTATAAAAGTTGTTACCCATTAATGCATTAACATATGACATTAATATTATCATGAATGTTCACAGATTACCGTCTGTCAAGGAAAAGATATTAAGTATAGTAGATGCAGAAGCGGAACAGTGGCTTGGATGTGCAATGACATATACGTTATTCGAATGTTTGAAGGAGAAATTAACAGAAATACTCGCGGAGCAAACTGAAGAGGTAGTGGTGTCTAGCAGAGTGGAGAAGATAGTTTTAGATGACCAGGTAAAGATTTTTTTTTTAAGGGGGAAAATCATCGAACGACTGCTCCCGCCTGGGTGAGGCGGGAGGGAGTGTCAGACTGTTACTGACTAAAAACCACCCCATTCCTTCTCCTGCACGTCGAGCCGGAGCCCCGGTAACCCGTTCGGTACTCCGCGACACCAGGTAAGGATAACTTGTAATCTAGTAGTAAGCAATCTCAAGGTAAAAAAAAATGAATAATAAAAAAACTAGGCTTCTTCACACTAATGCGACTAGAAAAACCCAGTTACCACCCACTTTAATTCCGCTAAAGAGCGCGTGGTATGCACCCCCCCCCCCTTGAACACAGGTCAATGCACCTGCAGCATGAACGCAATACAAAACACACCACACACAAACATATCTGCAGGGAAGGTGCTCTGTGGAGGAGCCAAACACGTATCGGTGGTTTGGTAAATATTTTTATGTAATATTACTTTCGTGAGACATACTAAATTAATTATTATGGTTTTCGGTTTACTTACGTAATTATTTGACGAGGAACTCGACTAGTTTCAAGCCATGCTAGAGGCTCATATTCATGAGCAACATTCTGCGACCCCCGACGCGCATATGTCGCGTTGCTACTGCAAACTAGTCGAGTTCCCCGTCAAATTATTATGTGAGTCAGCCGAAAAAATTATAATTAAATATTTTTTATTTATTAAAAGTTGGTTCTGTGACTCGAGATTTAGCCTGGATTTTTAAGTAATCCAATTTATTCAATAGTAGGATAATAAAAATAAACGATACATGTACTTGTACTTCCTTAATGTTAAATTATGTGTTTTCAGACCGAAGTCTCAAAGAAACCAGAGAAAAAGGAGCATTTAACGAAGGCGCAAAAGCGAAGAGCGTGGGATAAGGCGGAGATAGGCAGGGCGGGGGAGAAGCCACGCGGGTGGGACTGGGTGGACATTGTTAAACATTTATCTCAAGCGCCCCACCAGCCTGCCTCATGACACTCCACCACGTAACTGCGATGTATGCCATTCCGCACGCTGACTCTGAATGGTGCTCTTATAAATACATGTGTTTATAGCTAAACTGTGCTTTATTAAACAAACATAAACAAATTAACCCAAATCACTATTTACATAGAAACATAGGCATTCAGCTTCAGATATACATATAGAGACATTACGGTACATCAAATATACATAGAAGTAAGTAAAGCACCAAAATATTGACACACACAAAATTCCATAAAGATGGGTTCACTCAAAAAGCGTCATATCTAAATATCGTTACAGTCAAACTTCGAAATCTACAAGAGCAAGTACCAATGTGACTTTTTCCGAGTTATATGTACTTTCTATCATTATCTAGACACTACTGACAAATGCTGAAGGAAAACATCGTGAAGAAACTTGGGCTTATAATTTCTAATTATAAGTTCGTAACCCGCATTGAGCAAGTGTGGTGATTAATGCTCAAACCTTTTGCCAAGTGAGAAGAGGTTTTGCGCAGCAGTGGGCATTTATAGGCTGTTGATGATGATGATTGTAAGGGCCGGTGCCCACTGCCGGCGTGTCACGGCACATCGTGCAAGACTTAATACTTTTGTTTTGGCTTCTATTTTTGCACAAAACAAAACCAGTAGACTAGACATATCGATAGAGAATTAAATTCTGAATAAAACGATGTACAGTCAGCACCAAAAGTTAATGACCAGAATCAACATAACAAAACACCATCAATTCAAATGTCGCTGAACAGTATTGTATCAAAGTCACTAAACAGCTAATTTCACCTGACTTAACTAACTACTACTAAATATAGAAACTGCTGATATTGTTATATCAAAAGACACTAAACAGCAGTAAAGACAAAATTAGGTTAACAAAGTATATTTTTAATGTTGCCGTGCGTTAATATACTTTTGACGCTTATGTTGTTCAGCTACTTTTGGGACAGTGCTTGCTTGCAGTGTGTAAGTGCATTGTTCTTGTACGTTCGTGTACAGCGACTGCAATACTGGTGCACATGTACTTTTGAAATACTCGTGTTTAACGATTTTTGTAAATTTCTGGTGTAGGTACAGGCTATTTTGTTTCCTAGTTGCGACTATAACTTGTGGCATTTTATTGTGAACAGGTGTTTTGTTATGTTGATTCTGTTCATTGACTTTTGGTGCTGACTGTACCTATATGGGCTTGTGACATCGACTTCTTAATATTCAGTGGGTGCTGTGGGTAGGGGACGTCCATAAATTACGTCACACGTTAAGGAGTAGGGAGGCGGTCGACGAAGTGCGACATTGTGTGACAAGGAGAATCGAGGGATACCAAACTTTGTGATGTTACAATTAAAAAAAAATATATAAAACACGAAATATTATTATATTAAGGTGTATGCCTAGATAGTCGCGGAGAACCTAACGGGTAACCGGGGCTCCGGCTCGACGTGCAGGAGAAGGAACGGGGTGGTTTTTAGTCAGTAAGAGTCTGACACTCCCTCCCGCCTCACCCAGGCGGGAGCAGTCATTCGATGATTTTCCCCCCTTTAAAAAAATGCCTAGATAGACCTCGCCATTTTTTTTTATTTTGTTTGATTTGGTATTAACATTTTTTTAAAGTAATTTGAAAAGAAATAAAATGCAAAATGTGACGTCACACTAGGGGGGGGGGGGGTCCTCACAAATGTGACTAGCTGTGACAAAGCGAGGGGCAAAAAATCATGAAATCCGTGTTACGTAATTTATGGATAACCCCGTAGGTACTGAGTACAATGAATAATGATTATGTTTTATTTTGTATTTCACGATTTTTGAACTAGGTATTTCAAAGGATTTTTTTAAATGTATTTTTCGTTGGTTTTTTTGAACTCAGTTTTTATTTTTTCAATTAGCAGCGCCCGTGTCTGAATATAGTCTAGTGTTGAAAAGCCTTTCCATAAACCTGTGTGAAGTTTGACTTTGATTTATAGTTTTTAAGTGTCCTTAGGTCGCCTTGTGATACACAGGAGCAGGGGACTAAAAGGTGACTTTGGGTGAAAAGCTAATGTGTAAATTGGTAACGTGTTTAATGTTTAATAGCGCCAAGCGAATAAAGCAAGGCAAAAAAATGTTCACCCATTTTTTTCTCTGGTCTACTCCGGTCTACTCCGGTCTACTCCGGTTCTCGAAGTTCACAAGCAGGTAAATATGAAATAAATCAGATTCACATAGTTTTCAAATATTAGTTTAATTTATATTCATTCATATTAGGTAGGTGAAATACGGATAAAAAAATACAGTATCGAATAATGCAAATGTTTATTTTTATGGAATAAATTAAATTTAACAATTTCACTGCTTATGCTCGTTGTTAATATGTAATTGCATTGCTCGTTAATATTAAATAAGCTTTCATCGTATTTAAGCTTGTTTCGCACTTTCTGTAGGTACCAAAACCTACAAAGATGCTTCACTAGTAATTTTCAATGTTCCATTTCCTAACCGGATTTTCTGCAGTACCACTTGTTTCGAGCTCTGTACAGGCATAAAATAAATTAAAACGATATGGTCTTACATCAGTGAATACAACCATTCTATTTGTAACTTCTGTAAAATATTGATGGGAGCCAATTCCAGCTACATTTCCATTGAGCAATAGTAGTGCGCCTGATAAAAGTCGATATTTCACGCTAAATTCAACGCAAATAAAATATCCCCAATATCGCGGCAACACTGTGTCGCAGTTACGTATATTGTTTGTACTGAATGTAGTGTTTGATAGTCTCACCTCGTGCACCTTTGGTCTGTTTTCTCTGTAATAATAGAAACCAATTTCTAAGAAACCTTTTAATTGTGGTACGGGATCAACTAAATTCAGATACAGCCCCTCCAATGATTGCTGATATTCATTTATACCGGATTCCACATACCCAGTATTCTTATGTTGATAGGCGTTCAGATTTTTAGTCAAATTTGCATCAATTCTTAAGACAAACAAGTCGTGATATGGCGAGGTCTGATGTTCTTTGTCGAACCACAAATGGTCGGGAATGTTGTCTACGTGAACAGGTTGACGTCCGCACAGAATTTTGTAAACAGCAAGATCATGATGAAATGTCCTATTGTTGGCATCGTAAGTTCTACCTTTTAAAACTACAACATAAGCTTTCTCAAATGATCCTTTGGTTAAAACAAAAGGTCGCATGGCATTGTATGAAGTGAGAACTCTGTTGTAATCAATCGCGACACCCATGCCGTGAAGTGTCGGTACTCCAACGTCAGGTTGATCCTCCAACATGTTTAATTCTACTATAGCAATGGCAGCATCCATCCATCCTCTCTGATATGTGGTACTGTATCTTCCATAATTTATCGGTTCATAAGCTAACTTAATAGCGAGGCTAGTAGCCAACAACGTAAATATGAACAAAGATTCAGCAGCCAACCTGAAACAGACAACGTAGGTATACCTACCTACATTATATTGGTAACGAGTACTGGCTATTGTAACTATTGCCATATTTGGCTTGACATATAAAAATCTTGCATTGCTAAGAACTTTATGGCTGAATGAGTGTAATAAGAGCTATCTATTGAACCCTCCGATTAATGTTCGTCATCATGATTTTCATGTGTAGCCTACAGTACATAGCCTAGGATCGGCACTACGGCGTCCTTACCTACCGCCTGATGCAGGTCCTCACCGGATATGGGAGCTTCGGAAGGTCTGGAGGTACCTGTGTGTGATAGGGCGGGAGGAAAGGCCCAGGTGTCATCACTGCGAGGACCGCTCTGAGGACACGGTGGAACACACTGTTGGGCAATGCCCTGCGTGAGCTGAGCACCGCCGTGCCCTCAGGAAAGTGATCGGCGATGGCGACCTCTCGCGTCCGGGCCTAGTGCAGGCCATGATGCGGAGCGAGGGGGACTGGGATGCCGTCTCCTCCTTTTGCGAAACAGGAGGTGGGGCGTCATACTAGCTAACTGTTTGTGTAATCCACAAATTGTTGTTCCGGGTCTGGGTGTCATAAGTATGTGAACTTGTATGTTTGTAAACGCACCCACGATACTGGAGAAAATCCTAGTGTGGGCAGGGTGGTTTTCCAAAAAAAAAACCAAAAAATTAACGGCGTCATTATCCTCAAGCCACAGTTAACAATTTTGCTGATTAAAATACAAAGTTTAGTTTCAAAAAATTGAGCCATGTCACTGCTCTCACCCAATGCAATACAAAACAGATGCTAATAAGTTACTGCGATGCTTAACAACGCGGGAGGATAATGATTTGTTAAATAAATGTTAAAGTTTTTTGAAGAAACACCCGGCAACGTTTTTATAAAAAGGGCTCGAGGGTAGGAGAAGGAACAGGGTAGTTTTTAGTCAGTAAGAGTCTGACACTCCCTCCCGTATCACCCAGGCGGGAATTAGAAATTTGATAATTTTTCCCCACTTAAAACTGATTGCCTTTTTAGCGTGTTGTTTATAGGTAAATTATCGTCCTACTAGCCTTACAGGGCGAACTTTATTTGGAGGGTTCACAAGCTCTTAGGTAGACTATAAGGCTATGGGGATGACACTGACAAGTGTCAAAATTTACGTCAATTCCATATAATTTTGGTTTTCTACTCTACAATTAGACAAGACCACATCCTGCCTAGGCTAGGTAGATTTTTTTTAAGGGGGGAAATCATCGAATAACTGCTCCCGCCTGGGTGAGGCGGGATAGAGTGTCAGACTCTTACTGACTAAAAACCACCCCGTTACTTCTCCTGCACATCGAGCCGGAGCCCCGGTAACCCGTTAGGTTCTCGGCGACTAGGTTAGGTAGGATAAAGTAGCGTAGCGGTAACCGTAGCACCGGGACAGGCTAAATGCCTATTTGGCTACAGCTGCTAGTTACAGAGGGATGCCGTGAGACGCGCGTGCTCAACTGTACATTGCCTATTGAGCGGCAACAACGGTGCCAAAAATATAAGGGGCGCCTATGAGTTGCTTACCCAGGGCGCTCTATAGCTTTAATTCACTCTAGTGAGGTCTCAGCACATTCAGGTATATTAGAAAACCAGCGTCAGGCACTGTTGCCTGACATTATTGATAAACAGCAGGACCT